ATATTGTAAACACACGCTTCATACCGGCCGCTTATTTACAATGGAAACCGGCGGTAGCAAGAAGAAGTTCGACGCCGCTCAAGTCGCCTAGCGAATATTCGTCGTGTACGTCCATTTCAAATAATTATGAATCTTTTTAGTTGTGTTTTGTATATATTAAATGGTGTTACATTTTTGATTCACATGTTTTTTCGTTAATAAAGTCCTTTAATAGTCAAACATTTTGTTTATTGCATTTATCCACCTATAATAATATTGCCATCTGTCTGTAATACAGCATAAAGGCCAAAAACTGAAAATCAAGTTCAGGGCATTACTAAAACACATGAGAAATTAAACCAGAAGTTGATGTACATACATAATATGTTAAAATTGAAACATGCGCTATATACTAAGCAACGGCAGACGGACGAAGCATACTAACCTACTATTTTGTGCTGATAATGATCTTACAAACCCAATAGCAATTGAATGCATATTTTTAACAAAAAGCAAGAAGGAAATGGAGTATGTAGAAGATTCTGGTCTTGCATTTACCAAAAATAGGTTTCCAGTGACTGTTTAGTATAGAATTATTTCCAAATAAATAAATGGGCGTAGTTTCTCATTTAGAACATAGTTTAACTATCATAAAAATGGGGGTGCACTAAATTCGACTCACTGAATGAAATATTTCTGTCAAAGGTTGAATGACAAAATCCATTCTTATTTGTATAAATACTCACATTGTTATACAACATAAATGCTCGCGCACTCGTTTCTTTAAAGCGCGCTGTGACACGACGTGAATAAAATGACAAATACGATTGTTTAGATTTAAAATACAATATTTCGATAGCCGAATAAAAAATGCATATTTTGTCACTTGATTCTTTGTGTATCTTGCTTACAATGCTTAAGACAGCTGATCGTTTTCGAGCGCACGACATTTAGACTACAAGCCCAGTGAAAAAATGAGGGGGTGAAATAACCCACCATTCATGTGTAGAACGATTCAATTTGAAAAAATAAACCCTATGCCGCCAGTTTTGAGGGGTGCGCATGACTGAATGAGAGAATTAAAGTTGAGAACCCAGAGGTGGACAACTACGATAAAAATAGTGGTGCCTAGGCCAGGAAAAATTTTGATTTTCCTAAAGGTGATTTAGAACTGTACGGCGTTTGCACAATTCACGTTCTACGCCCTACATAGATCCATTATTTTTAACGTCGTGCACAGTTTCAGAGATATGAATCTTTGAATGGACCCTTGCATTTTCAAATTTTTAGAGCAAAATTGACATATGTATGTCTTATTTATTTATTTATTATCCCTCTCTTGTTTTGGGCCCTCAACAGGCTTGCGCCCAATTACAGAGTGACCCGCATAATGCTTTTTAGAGGTGTCTAAAACTATGACAGATAAGTACGCAAATCTTAAATAGAAAATGATAATGTTTCTATTTAAAAAAAAAACAAGACTGAATTCGCAAGAAACAGTGGATGATCTTTACATTACTACAGTTGTTTGAATTTCTTATAATTGTATCATGTTGAAATTTTCATCGTTTCTTATTTCGTCTTAAATATTTCATCAAATTTGGTCAAAGTACAATGAGTGGTACTTATGGCGGGCAGTATATTTACTTGTACAGGAGTGAAAGACCCAGGGTGATAACCTATAAGTACACTGAAAAAAGAGATACCAATTGCTTGCTGAATTTGCGTTTTAATCGTGTGAATCAGACTTGACAAAGAATGGGTAGTAATTGTTTGAAATAAATGTCACTTATATACAGGGTGGTGACTTGCGTAACGCATCATAGGGATTCATAACATGCGATTATTGGCTCCCCAAATTATTTTAGAGCAAAAATGTATAAAGGTTTTTTGTAGAAAAAATTTTTTTACGTTAATCAACCGGATTAGTTTTCAATTTTTTGCATAATAAAGGCGGAAAATTGGAAAAATAAAACCCCCATTTTTTTCAATAATCTGTGATGCCATGGAATTTTATAATACAAAAACTATGCCAATATCCGTCATGCAATGGAATGTCTGCTATAGAACAAATCAAATGCTATCGAAAAGTATTATATTTAGAACAGCGAATTCAACATAAAGAATGACCAAATTACTAAAAACGGTTTCCTAATATAACAATTTTTTTTTTATTTTATTTTATTATCCCTCTCTTGTTTTGGGCCCTCAACAGGCATGCGCCCAATTACAGAATGACCCGCACAATGCTATTTAGAGGTGCCTCTGCAGAAGGTCTTAAGATGGTCTATACTACTCCGGTATTTACCTTACGAATTAGGAAAACTGCAGGAAAACCTAATTCAGAGTAGCCGGTAGAATGCTCGGAACTGGTCTAAGGTAATTTCCATCTCCGCCACAGATGAAAAATTCACCTCAACCCAGGTTCGAACACCCGACCTTCGGATTTATAACCCAATGCTCTACCACTGAGCCATAAATAAATTTACAATAAATGTTCGAATAAGTCACCATTAACTGCATTAAAGTAACCAAGTCGTTCATAAAAGCCATTTCGAACTGCTGCTAATTGATAACTGGATCTTTTTGTTTTAGAAAATTCCATGGCATCGCAGATTATTGAAAAAGATGCGGGTTTTTATTTTCCCAATTTTCCGTCTGTATATGAAAAAAATTGAAAACTAATACGGTTGATTGGCGTAAAAAAATTTTTTCTACAAAAAACTTGACATTTTTGCTCTAAAATAATTTGGGGAGCCAATAATCGCATGTTATGAATTTTACATTGAAAGCCCTATGGTGCGTTACCAAGTCACCATCCTGTATAGTTGATAATCAGTATTATACAGGGTCGTGCCACAGTGGGTCGGTCTTTCCTAGCTTATTCCTCATAAAAATTGTAAAGAGAACATTTTGTGCCAATGTCAGCTATAGATCTATGCGATTATTTTTGAATATACAGGGTGTCCCATTTTTACCATGTAAATAAATGATTTTTTTAAATAGAACTGTGCATTTTTAGTTGTTTCGATGTCATTTGTTTGTATTCATTTTTGATTTTTTGTCAATGTTGCCTTAATTTTAACCGAATAATTCTCCATAAGCACTCCTCACTTTTATAAATTACCTACCCGTCTTCTATGTTGAAAATTGTTAACTATCCGTTGTTGTTTTTGTACATACTTCTTATTATCTTCATACAAGTTGCTGATTCGCGGTATAATCTATGTTTCTATTTTTTAGGTTTTCCCATACTGTTTTTTTGTAGCATCAAACGCCTTTTCTAGGTCCAATAATGCCATATATACTTTTCAGTCATTTGTAATTTTCTCGCTGTTCCAGGATTTATTGCGCACTTCTTCCCATGCGTTTCCTAATTCATAATCTTCTCCACTACTATCTTTACATCTTCCTGTTTTGCAGGTACATTCCCATTAAGAGAAATTTCTCGAAATATGGTTCCACTTTGTCCTGCCTTCTGATATTAGTTGTCGATGTTGGTTTTTTAAATAATTTTCATATTCTGGGTTTTTCTTTTTCTTCCCCCCATGTCTCTTTCTTTGTTTAGTTTACATGTATGCTTTGTGCTCGTATTTGTCTTTGTTTTTTTTACTCAGATACATTTTCCACTTTTCTTTCCACCATCCAGTCATCAGGACGCTATCTATTACTATATTTTTGAATTTGTGTCGTCCCATATTCCTTCCAAGTTGAATTCGGTTGCAGCTTTGAGGGGTCATCTCCTCTGTGTTTAGTCTTTATCGCCTTCTTATCCATCACGTTGTGATTATAAAACTTTATTTATAAATGTATAATAAATCACCGTCAGGTGCTAAAAGGAAATTAATTGTATTTTTATAAACACCCTGTACAATAAAAATAAAGCGAACAGCAATACGTTGATATGTTAAGGATTCGTTAACGTTTTTTTATGAAGTACACTACGACGCTAGTTCAAATATACGACGAGGCAAACCACCTCAAATGATGATACGACGAAAAGCGGCAAAACTACAACGCTAGAGAACAATGGTTCATAAATATCTTGATTGTTTATGCACCTTGAGTTCTCGATGCGTTTAGGCTACGGCTTTGGGTGAGAATCGAAATTATTGACTCCCCAGCTATACTCTGCACGGACCGACCACAGAATTCTCGCGGATGTTCCGCTGTGGAAAATGTTAACCTTCTCGCTTTCTTCCTTGGAAATGCTGCGAACTTCTTGGTCCGCAGCTTGACGATAACTTGATGGCTCACTGTTGTCTTAATTTCTTTCTCCAGAATCCACCCAATGAACTGATTGGCTGACGATTACGCGTTGCGATGACAACTAGCGTAGGTTCGACAGCGCGTACGATAATTACAACGATCCGCTTCATTTACGCATCCCGAAAATTTCATGTTTTTTGCATTACTTTATTTTCATGTGATAAACGGCTTAAAAAATGTACAACGTTACTATTTTGTCCCACTATATCCAAAAATGGGTTGTTGTACGGGTCATATGATCTACAACACAAAAACTATATTGGCACAAGGGGATTGCTGATTATTGTTGTACATTCTATCATGTTGCAGAATGCCGTGCAGGGATCTGTTATCGTAGTTGCCCACATTTGAGTTCTCAACGGCCTGTGTGGCGCAGTGGTTCGAATTTGGGTTCGGGCCCGGATATTTGTAAATGTGTATAGTGGATTGGGTTGGTAAAACACTCTTTGCTGAAACCCCGCCCACTTTGAAAATACCAAAGATAAATTAAAAAAAACTGTACCGCTGAAAACTGACGCCATGTAGCAATATTCTTCTACCCTTGTTTCATGGCGGCCCATTTCAACTCCTCATTTTTTCACCTTGCTTGTAAAGTTGTACTCTATACCTGGGTTACCTGAGGCAAACTTTAGAACTGTAGTTAAGTAAACAAATTCACCAAGCTTTAATTTACTGCTTTAAAGGTTAAAATACCCTGTTACAATATAGCATTTGAAATCATACAAGGTGTTTTATTGATGATGTAATTTATAATGCAGAGTTCGGAAGATGAAACGCCGGAAGAAAAAGATCATTTCGTCGCTCAACTATATAAATTTATGGACGATAGCAATACGCCGTTAAATAAAAGTCCAATGATCGGAAATAAAGACGTCGATCTTCACAAACTGTTCGATGTGGTTCGGAAATTGGGAGGCTACAATCGGGTAACGAACAAAAATAAATGGAGATCTGTAACTCTTCGGCTAAAGCTGCCGAACAATTTAAGCACTCATAATCAAGTAAAAGTAGTATATAAAAAGTGTTTATTAAGTTATGAGGCATTCCATCGTACTTTAGGTGTTACAATGCTTAATCATCCGCGTAACGCCAAGAAAAGTCGAGGAAGGAGTTTAATTCGTGATAAAGATCGGAACACTCCCGTTAACAGTCCTCGTCCAGAAAAAGAGGAGGACGTTGTACTACCGGAAAAAAAGGAAGAGGAAAAACCGCCCGAAGAAAAGCCGAAACCTGTTCCGAAAAAAGCTGAAACCAAACCAAAAGTTGAAGAAGAAAAAAAAGTTAAAGATATTGTACTTGCTGATGTAAGTGATACAAATAGCAGCGATGCCACTGATATCTTAGAGGTCACGGCGAATGTGTCTGTACGTTTGCGAAGAACCGAATCTAAAGCCAGCCGTGAACGTAAACCCAAACCTGCTGCTGGTGAAAAAGTTAAAGCGCTTGTGGAAAAGTTTGAAGAGCATGCAAAAAAAGAGGAGAGAGAAGAGGAAAAGGTAAACATTGTGTGAGCACTCGGATAATAACTTATTGCTTTATAGCAACAGACTAGATCGAAATCCCAAACCCCTAAAATTAAAGAGAAGGAAGTACCACCCGAAAAACGCAGTCGTGAGTCGAAGACACCAGTACGAGAAACTCCATCGCCAAGTAAGGCCTTAACTAAATCTGTTAAAAAAGTCGAAGATGACAAAAAGCGAGGACGCAAACGCGTTAATACAGAAGAAAAGGACAAACTTTCGGACAGGTTTGTTGGCTGTCGAAAATAAATTGTGAGTGCTTTAATTATTGTTTGCAGTACCATCATCGAGTCCTCATTTATCAATCCTGTAGTGGGAATAGGCGACAAGCTCAAGGTTTTTTATGGTCCCACAAATGAGTCGAAAGTGACTTATGAGGCAAAAGTCATCGAAATAGATAAAGAAGCGGTTAGTCCCATGTATTTGGTGCATTACACCGGCTGGAATACACGTTACGATGAGTGGATTACGCCAGTTCGTATTGCTGAAAACCTTAGCGCGACTACTAAAGCAAAAAAATTGAAGAGTGGCGCCACCAGTAGCAAGGTAAGTACCATTGTTCAGTTTAACAACCATTAATGTCTCGGAACAGGTAGCGACTCCTAAATCGTTGTCGAAACGCGGTAGGCGAATGTCTATTACTGGACGGAGTTCTTCACAAGACGTACCGCCACGTTCCACAACTCCATCCAGCGTGACATCGACCTCCAGCCGAACAAAGAGCCCCGCAACTCCCGTCGCGCGAGGATTTAGAACGACACGTTTAGGTATCGAATCTTCGTTCATTTTATAATAACGCAATGATTAAATTTAGGCGAAGTGAGTCGACGCACCCGACGAACTTCGGGTCAAACTGACATCTCGAACCACTCCGAGTCGGAAAGTGACGGCGGTACCGAAAGTGACTCTGAAATGGTCAAGACACGAAGTGGTGTTAAAGCTGAGGACGTGGAAAATCGATTACTCAAAAAGAAGGCGGTGAAGTCTGCGTTATTGGTAGGTAGTATTTTTGGGGTACTTAAATATAAAAAAATACTCTTCATGTATTCTTTTGAAAAGTGTCCACAAATCGTTTTCTATAGTTCCATTGAAATAATCTTCCCTAAGACGTAAGTAGGTAGCCTAAGACGAGAATATCCGTTAATGCCGACCACAGGCGATCTATTAACCGCGGAAAAATTGAAGGCGCATTCCTCAAACCAGACGGTCTCTTGAAACGAATATTTCCGAAAGGTGACGTGAAAACAATTTTATCGCGGTCTTCTTCCTTCACTGAAACCTACTAATAACCGGGCCGCAAGTCTGACGGTATATATTTGGTTTTCTTGGCAGCTTGCATCAGCTCGTCAATGCGCGATAACGGATAACGATCCGGGACCGTAACTGCGTTAATTTTCGGTAATCGACACATACACGATAGGAACCGTCGATTTTAGGTACCAAAACCACGGGTGCAGCAAAAGGAGATTCGCATGGCTCGATGATGTCTTCCGTGACTAAAGTTCAAACGTTACGCGGAACTGTAATATTGACATTACGTTAATTCCCATCGGCAAGTTTGATTGTCAATTGTCTATCCTCATGTGGTTTCCCAAAGGACGTTAAAAGGTTGTACAACTGGGCGCCGGCGATGCTGGTTTTTGGCCCCGTGTCAAGACAGGCAGATTCACCAGGGGCGGTTTTTAGGGGGGGGGCGACAGGGGCGATCGCCCCCCCTAAACATACTGCTCAATTGTTTTTTTTTTATTTCATTAGGTTTACATAATAATCGAATTAAATAGACTGCACTCAGCACTGATTACCACCGTATAATAATGAATATGGTGCGGATTTATGGCATTTTGCTTATACGTTAATTTTGAATGCAGAATGTAATGGTTATTAGTTTTGGATCTATACGTTTCATGAAAAATGAAAGCGTTTAAGCCTATTTTTATTTTGCCTTTTTTGAACAATGGCGCTTTAAATGCTTTTTTGCGCGATCGGTCATTTCTGACTATTTACCATGTGTGTTTCCATGACAGTACGTAGCATTTACCAGTTGCTATGATTACGACGACGCCAAAATTACTTACCGATCTAAAAACAGAACAGCAAAAATACTTACCGACGCCTTTTTAAAAATCAACAGTACATTACATTTAATCTTTAATTATTGTTAGGTACATTAAACGTACAATTTGTGCTGTTGTTTCCTATAGAAAGACGCTCATAACGTCATAAAGGAAGTGCAAAGCTAGCAAACTACATCAGACACATGCACAATTTTATGAAATTATTAATTTCAATTTTGACAAATAAACTGGTTACCCAGTGATGTACACCATACCACTTCGATCATTTCGATTTATTCTGCTCGTTAATTTCTTAGTGCATATTTATATTGGTTACATAATTTTAATTTCGATCGCGCAAAAAATTTATAAGCACGTCGAACGTTAAGGGTTACCGTTCTCAGACAATAATTGGAGTCGTCGCTTCGCTCCTCCTCCAAACAATTGTCTTCGAACGGTAAAAATCCCTTACCATTCTCCATACTTAATATACTATTTCTTGCTTTTTTTTTAAAGTTCATGCTTAAATTGGATTGGGATAATATTTGGCAAGTTAAGTTAATTGAATGTGGTACAGAATGTTGGGTATTCGGAAATGAATGCGGCAATAGATAGTTTAACAAAAAAGAAGCTGAAATTGGGTCAAAGCTACTTAAAAGAAATTCCCGCGCACCTCTGCATCTGCAATTCTGTAGCTTTTTTATTTTCACCTCTCCCCCCCCCCC